CGCCTGCTGCAGAGGCGGGGAGGCTGACTGTGTGGGTCGCAGCGTGGCTTGTGTTCTGTGGCCCGAGTTGGTTGTGAGCATCGCTTGGCAAACTACAGCCGGTGGGCCGGAGCCCGCTGCCTGTGTATGCATAGTCCTTGAGGAAACACAGTTTTTAAATGGCTGAAGAAAAAAATACACCAAGGAGAATATGGACCGGAGTCGAGTCGTTGCAACAGAGACAGTATGGCCCACACATCTTCTTGTAGAAAAGGCATTGCAGGGGCTTAAAAAGTGGGATCTGCTGCTGCCTTACAGGGGCTAGTGAGCCTGCCTGTCCATCTGATCCTCAGTTTTCTCCTCTGTACAATGGGTTAATAATAGTACCCATTTCAGAGGGGGTGCTGTGGGAATAAAGGATGATGATGCAGGGAAAGCCCTCAGCCCAGTGCTTGGCACCTGCAGTAATATTTTTAGTGTTAGTGAGGGGAAGAGGCAGAAGCTAAGGGGAGCTGAAGAGGTGGAGACAGCCTGCTACTCTTTCTGAAAGCTTGGGTGAGAAAGGAAGGGAGAGGGAAGGCATTAGGAGATGGAGACAGGGCACAGAGGAGAGGCAGGTGTTCCTGGGATGAGGCCTGTGAGAAGAGACAGAAGGACCAGGAGAGAGGAAGAGGGGGAAAGGAGAATCGAAGGGGTATGCACATGGGAGGACTGAGGACCTTCCTTAATCACCTGCTGAATGTCACCGGCTCTAGAATGAAGCTGAGCAGAGGAAGGGTAAAATGAGGCCCATTTGTGTCTGGCTCGGATTCCCCTCGGAAGACTTCAGTGTCTGCAAAGGGGGGTGCTGATGGGCCGTGAAGGGTGGTTTGACTCTGCCCAGGGGCCTCGTGACTTTGGCTTGCTTATTTCTGAAATGACATCATCTATTGATGACTCCTGCTTAGCCCAGTCATAATGGCCTTTTCCAGTTAATGTTTTGATTTTTCGGTCTTACTAATGGACCGGCCAAGCTGCCAACACTTCTAAAGAGGCCAGTTCACTTTTTTGCTTAAAGCCAGAACACCAAATAGATCAATTATTTGGCTGCTAGGAGACATTACCAGTTTAAAGCCACAGGCCTGTTTCTACGGCACAAGAGGAATCAGATAGCCTGATTCAGGGGCCATGTCCTCTCTTTGTTTTGTTTGTAAAACCCACCTTTGGTTAATCATGACAGGACCTGACTCTTTGCTCTTAATGATAACGAAAGAAAGAGCTCCTTGGAGTCAACCTTGGTCATGTCCGGGAGGTTTGCTTTGCTGTTAGGAGGTGCTAGGTTCATGTCTGATCTAAAAAACTAAACAAACGCAGCATTTCTTTTATTTCCTCTTTTCTTACATCCTCTTGATTTTTCCTCAGAGAAAAACAGATTTGTGAAAGGCTGGGCATTACTGTGCATGAGGAGAAACGTGGGGGCAGGGAAGGGGGGAGGGGGAAGCAAGCCCGGTCCCTGTGCCCTGTCTCAGCTCTCTTTCTCAAGGTCCGTAGCCCGAGCCTCTTGTCACCCTGGAACTCCTCGGGTGTTCCTGGGGATGATTCTGGTGGATGATGAGTTGTGGCCCCTGGGTGTTCACTCTCCATGCCTATGGGAACTGGGAAGCAGAAATGCCTCTGGGCCTCACTCAGCCTCCTTCATGGACTCTCCTGCCCGTTCTTAAATGTTAGTGCCATTCTCAGCCCTATTCTCTTTTCACTCCAGACCCTCCTAGAATCCCATTCACCCTATGGCTCCAAGCTCCCCTATAAACTAACAACTCCCAAGTTCATGTTTCCAGGCAGGACTGCTCTCCGGTGACTCCTGCCAATCGGACAAAGCCAATAAAACATCCCAAGGGTGCTTCACCACCAACAGTCCCAGGCTCAGGCTCCTCATCACCCAGTCCTCCTCTGGTGTCCCCCCTCTTGGTCAACAGTAACGCCATTCACCCAGACGCCCAGCCAGAAACCACCTTTCCCTTTGCCACCCCATTCCTTTGGTCAAAATCCTGCCAATTCTACCTTCCTCAATATCTCTCCTATTTATTTCCATACTCCCATCACCACTCCTATCCATTACTTTGCCATCTCTCTCCCGAGTCATTGTCAGAGACTCTGTAAAGTTTTTCCACCTCAAGTCTTTTCTTCTATGCTGCTGTGAAAAGATCTTCGTGAAATGTAGCTATGACTGTGTCGTTCCCTTCCCTTTGGGGGCTCCCCACTTCCTACCAGGTCCGTTAGCATTGAACACCAGGATCATCTAAGACCTGGCCCCAAACCACT